CCCTTCTCCCTCTCTCCCCCTCTCTCTCCCCCTCCCCCCTCTCTCTGAGTAATTCTGTATGCAGATTTTAACCTATTTTAACATCAGAAAATTAATATAACATAATTTACAAGCGACAAGTGCAAGTCTGAATGACAAGAATAATATCTTATACACTATCTTCCATATTTATAACAATTATTTATTGCTCCCTATAAAATACAATAACTGATGAAAGAAAGATCTGTTGAAAGAACTCTCCTTCTTTCGTTCTCATAGTAATTCTATATAATTTCAGACTATTCTAGCGCCGAGAAAAAATTAATAGAATGTTACACCTTATGTGAAGAATAGAATGATACCGACAAATTATTATATGATAGATACGAACAATATTACTCATCAGCATGTGAATATACGATGAATGACAGCGCACTCGTGGGACCATGATAAGGTCAGAGCGTTCTTGATACATCACGTGTTGCGATAATTGTACGATACGATATCTGAAAATAGTTTCGACGATGCGAGTATTATATGCGCAACCACCAAAACAAAAATAAACACCAAGAAACGCGCTGCAGTATCGCAATAGCTATCGTTCTCACGATAGCTATAATAGTCTCGCGCCGAAATCTCATTGTCAGCAGAAATCTTTGTGCGGATGCTTATTAGATACGATCGTGCTTTGCGAAACTATCAACAAATTTATTTGTGATATACAGATTTATCGCGATCGGAAAAATTGCATTCAACAGAAAAAGCAGCTTTGCAACTGCGATTCTTTAATATTGAAATAATTTAGAAAAATACATATAATAATAATTAAGTAAGTACAAGCAATAAGAATCAAAGGTGGTTATTAATTAGCGCAAATCCTCTTAATATTAAATATATATAACTTTGGTTGGTCAAGGTTATATATATTTAATATTATAAGAAGATTATTCTTATATTAACGTTATTATTATATATATTTTTCTAAATTGTTTCAATTAAAGGAGTCTATAAAAAACTTAGTTTAATTTTTTAATTTCTTTAATATTGGTTTAAACAATTAGATCTAAAAAAGTGAATTAAGAGCAAAAATGAATTATGTTAAAGAATCATGCAACAATTGCAAAGCTTTTTTTGCTGAACAATAATGAATGGGAAAAGAAAAACATTCTCGTTTTTAACTGTTTTCTATTAATTTCTTCAATCCAGCGATCAATCTGATTCTGCAAATAAAAGCGCAATAAATTTGATATCACGAAATATTATACAAAGTATTTAAATATAGAAGACTTATAGTGCTTCAGATCGAAGTATGAATAATAATATCTATTTTAACACAAGATATATTAATGATCGAGGCGTCATGAATTGCTAATTGCTGATTAACTTTGAAAAAAAATTAATTATTTTAAAGTTCTGTGTTAGAAATAATATCTTTTTTTGGGCGAGTTGTTTTCGTAGAATCCCTTTTAAATACATTTCCATTGCTGATTGTTAATTGCCGGAGTACGTGTATCACGATATCATTATTCATCGCTGTAATATTCGCTATTAAGTACACGCGCGAGGCGCGAAATTCGCATAGATTTATCTTTCAAGTACATCTACGAAGAACACGACAGGTACTCTTCTATTGCGAAGATTAATGATTACGCAAACTTTTTCACTGTTTATGAAAAGAATTCTATTGCGCGCCAAAAAGTGAGCCAAATTACTATTAGCTTCTCACACAAATATTTGTATTAATTTGACGTTATATTATGAATTTATCATTTAATAATTGTTCAATATATAATGTAATTATATTATGCAATTTTATTAATAATTTGCAATCATATTAATATATATTAACAATTAATGCACAGAGAAAAAGAGAAAGTTGATATCTTTTTCTTTTGTATACAAATTAATTGCATATATTTAACCCTCCAGAACTGACGTCAAAATCTGTAATACATTTACACGGAAAGAACGATTTTGCTAAAATATCTAAAAATTTAGCGAGATAAAAATATTGTTGTTGACTTATCAAAATAATGATGTAAAAAACTGAAACATAATGAACACGTGTTACAAAAAAATTTTTATATATCCAGTTTAATTTGAGAGTTTTACATAATTATTTTGATACTCCTGTTAAAATTCTTTTCAAATTTATTCCTAGTTGAATTTCAGCAAAAAACCGTTCTTTCATGTTACTAAGTTTATAAGATCTATTTAATTTATTTTAATTAAAAGGTACTAATTAATTTCAAGAAATAACTTATATGAAAAAAAATGAATGCTAAGTAAATTTTAAAAAATCTATATATAACACAAAAAAATAAATTTTTTGACATTTCTGATTGAGTAGCTCCAGTAGATGCATCGTTAATTCCGAATAATAAGAAATTAATGAAGAAATAACATATTTTCTACACGCTAATGATATTTCTAAATCTACGTTTCTCATCTAATCGCATAATATCGATGCAACATGTTTTGTAATATCTGTGACATTGAAAATCAATCTCGTTATGGACCGATGATTTGAAATCAAAAATTTCATCACTGAATAATAATAAACAAAGGATACTCAAAACAGATCTAATATCAGAGTATAATATCAGAAAATAGCGCAATATCAATATTTGCTTTCCTAAAGAAGAAAAATGAAAATTCTGTCGATTACAAAATTCAGTTTTTCGTAGAATACGGGAGAAATCAAATACTTTACATGAAAGAACGTTGATTTTAAGATCGGATAAACCAGATTTGAACGCTCCCCGCAAATGTCTCGAAGGGATATTTAGTCCGCGAGAAGAAAAATGATATTGACGATTGACAGGTATAAATAGCGAAATGCATGTTACGTACTACTTCTAAGTAACATGCAAGCAACTTTCAAGTGGACTATCGAGCCTTAACTGCCAGGCATCGTCGCGTCTCGTAACCGCTGACCGATGATGCAAATACATCGGACGACGTAAGGTGCAGCTCGCGTGCGAAAAAAAAAACAAGAAAAGAAAAAAGAGAAAGAGAAAGAAAAATATTAGCTTTCCAGGTGAAAGTCCGCGCTGTTGAGAAGGGGCGAAGTGGGGACTCGCGACGTTACTGACCAAGACACGAAGCACAATTCTCGCGTTTCGTTGGAATGATTGGG